GGAGAATGCATACCAGAGAATTGTGTGCAAACTATATAGCATCTGATCATTGTAGAATTTGATTAATCACAAAATAACCCAATGGTATAACTCATTCACTAGTGGAATAGAAATGCCAATTATGATAGTTCTGTGGGTGACTTCAGTGAACCATTTTTACTCAGTATTAACTGGTTTTTTTTCTCAGTTTTGGGTACCTAAAAGTAACAGAAGGGGAGATAAACAGCCAGAGGATGACTGTAAGTGAAATTCAAGAGCAAGCATACTCAATCTGAGCCGTAGGAAATGATTAAACTAGTTTTCAATGCCACTTAAGCATAAATCTTTAATTTTTGCAATTCTCTGTAAGTAGAAATAGTTTATGTATCTTAAAAAAGATTTAAAATTACTGTTTTCTCATAAACATCAAATATAAGGATGTTTACCTTGACATAAATACATATGCAAGAGCTTTTTGTGTCTGTTCTAGAATTATTATGACTCTCCAAATCTAATTGCTAATGTGCACTGCTTATAAAATTGGATAGGCTTCTACTCCAACCTTAGTCTGTGCCCTGTCTAATCTATTATTTAATAACTAAAATCATATGAGAAGAACAGCCTGAAAAAGTGCATCTCGTGTCACTCTTGTGTATTTGACCAAATGAGTTTCAATATAGTTCTCAGCCTGCTTGCAGAGCTGCTGTGTGTGCATTTGTACAGGGTGGGCTGTGGACTTCAGGAGGGATATTTTTTGAAAAATTGAAAAGATATGTTTTTTCTTGTACATGATTGGAAAAACATGAATGTATTAATTTCAGGCGGAGAATTCAAGATGTTTAACACATTACACAATGTTTTTTTTCTCCAAAATGTCCTTCACTTCGTGTTTAATATTTACTGCACTTTAATTAAACAATATTCTGTCATATCAAGATAAGTACAGACATGTTATGATGGGATCAGCAATAATAATTTCAATAGGTTAAAAACAGTGATTTGAACTTAGAGATTCTAGTCTTTTTAGGCAGTTATTTGGACTTCTCTAGACTAAAAGAGGGAGAACATGGAGACCTGCAGTATTTTTGCTGTAATAGATTTAGCAACTGCACATTTATACAAATACCAGTGCATGATTATACAAATTGAGAAATAACTTGTTATTTTAAAGTTTTTTCTAAAACTCCCTTTATATGGTAGCTTAAACGTGTAAGAATCTCTCTAAAATATATTTAGATGAGCAAAATTTGAAGTATGAAAAGATACAGAAGAAATTCAGAGTACTGTAATTTTCATCTTAGATAAGCACACTTAACAGCATTATCTAAGACATAAAAATGAGAATTATTTGCTATTATGAATATAATATGTCCTTATTTATTTTTTAAAAAAACAAGAAGGCACAAAGATTAATAAAACCCGAGCTCACAACAAGGCTGGTAACATTTGCCCTGTGTGCATCCGTTCATTTCTCCCCTCCCCTCTCTGTCCTCCCAAAGTAAGTAGGTCTTTGCTCTTCTCCTTTTCTGCCTCACATGTACCTTTAAAGTGTGTAATCATTTCAAAAGAGTCTGTGGTCATTCAGCTGTTCTTGAACATTCAGTGCCTTCAAATTTAGATATTAAATGGTACCTTTAAAATATCGATGAATCCTTCCTTCTCTCCCAATAAATATTTCCTGGGTAAGTGAAATATTTGCTTGTATCTGCATATTCCTAACGTTAGCTCGTGTGTGTGTTTTCTGTCACGTAATCATACTGTGTTTCATATATTTGAAGTTTGCTACAAATAAGTGCATATGTGATTTGGGGGAAGGATGTCTAAAATAATGTGTTTCGTAAAGTTGTAGAAATGGGCTAACGTTTTTCAGAACTGAAGATGGCTTCATGGGTCCTTTAGTTTTCTGGTTGTAATTTAAATTAGAAAAGCTCCTTAGAGTCAGCTGAGAGGTCATTGTGAAGGACCCCTGCGCTTTGTGCAGAGGTGCTCCGTTGTGCCGGAGGGGGCGCCCCACATACTTCCCGTAGGGCCCCTCTGCAGATCAGAAAGCGTGTATTTCACAGGTCAGGAGTCTGAAGCCCGTGAAGCAGTCACTGTCACAAACTCAGATTTTCTGTCGTTCACCATTCCACTCCGCCTTCCGTAGGATTTACTGAGGCGTTTCCCAATACGTATTATACAGAGATAAAGGGTTTCTAGGATCACATAAGTTTGAAAACATGGGGCTAAACACTTTTTTTGTTTTTACTGTAGAGTATCTGCCAGCCTTGAACACGTTAATGTGCTTTGTTAGTGTTTTAATAGAGTCTATAAGGTGCACCATTTCCCAGCTTAATTCAGGATGGAGCTGAGCCCAGGAATGTCTCAAGAGTCCACTCTTTTCAAACATCCTTTGACGTTGTTATTCACCCTTTTACTATTAGCCTTCCTCTACTATTCACAAATAACAAGCTGTGTTGTTACACAGGGAAGTTAACTACATTTAGGTATCCATTATTATGCTTATTACTAATCAGTCCTAATTTCTTACGTTTTCCTAAATAACCACGTACATCTCATTCACGCTGTTGAAACCATACGGTAGTGGGCATCCAATTTTAGTTTATACCAGAGCCACCCTGAAGCCATGTTCAAATATCAAATATTGGGCTCATCTGCCTCTAACCGACTCGGTCCGCAGTCTAACAAACTGCAGTGAGTGCTGTGATGCTTTTCCAGGGACTGCACTCTGAGAAACCACTGTGTCAGTTTCGCGGTGACTTCTTACCAAGTTAGAGTGCTTAGTGCTGCGACGTGTAATTATCCATTCACTAGTTGGAGTTTGCCCTATGTTCCTGTTACTAGTGCAGGTAGTCTGTTGTAATGGGCTCTTCTCTTGTTCAAGTCGGGGGGCCCAGGAATAGAGGACAGTGTGAATTTTAAAATGTGTTAAAATTCGCAGCCGAGTCCACAGTAAGAACCTCAGGTGTTGCTTCCATCCTTTCATTTCTGAAGCACTGAAGCCGAGGCGGATGAGTTATGTTGTTAGATAAATTACTGTCTTGTTCTGCGGTTTCTTTTTGTCTGCCGTCTCCTTCTTTTCGCCCTCTTGCCTTCTTTTTCGTGCTGCATACACCTGCCTTCGGTTCTAGAAAACAGTGTTTGATTAGAGAATTTTGCATGTGGGCGTTTTGCCAAATTTTAGTCCTTCAACAAGACTCTCGTTACTTGGCAAATTCAGTTGTCAATGGGAGCACAGTTACATATTTGTGGCTTTCACATTATGTTTTCAAACACTTGCCAAAGACAAATTGTATAACCCAACCCCACACATCTACATATGCTTGCACACATACAGGGATTCCTGCCCAAAGCACAGACCTCACAAGATGCTCTTACCTTTGTGTGGAATGTATCCTCATATTTTCTGTGGTTAATGTCTCATTTAAAAATGTAATTTGCTCATGACCTAGTAAATTGATTTCCTTGTCTAGTAATGGGTGGTACCTGGAGCTCTGGAAGACGCTGCTAACATTAAAATGGCTAGGTTGCTCATATTTGTGTCCAGATAATTTCTAATGTTTCAATTTTCCACAAGAAAAATACGTGTATGTGTTCTCAACTACTTGAGCCTGCTAATGTTTTATCTGCTCCCTTAAATTTTTAATATTTGGTGAAAATTGGACACTGGCATCTTTGCAGATCCGTTGACTTTGTGTTCATGCTGTATTTAGCAGCAGCTCGACGGCATTTTCTGCTCGTCAGGTTTTTTCTATCCTGTGTCCTGTGCCTCTCTGCATGACTTTTATGTAATTAATCGTGGTCAAGTGTTGCGAGATTTTCTGCTTTGTTTTGAGGAGATTGGTTTTGGAATATACAAAATTTTCTCCAGAGTGAAGAAATTGAAAATGCAGATCTGAATTTAGTTTTTAAAAATTTCCGTTAAGGAAACTACATTTCGACTGAATTTTATCAAAAGAAGAATTACGGTAGATGGGAAATTTATCTTTAACACTCTATGGCACTTGCTTGAATCACTTCGTTAGATCTCTTTTCTTTCTTCAGGAAATAATTGGCTAATGTTAGGATTTAATTGTATTTAGAGTTACAAGAAGTCTCTTTTTTCTTAATATAACTTCTTTTTTAAAACAGATATTGGTACACAGTAAGCGAGAAGTTCCGTGACAACCTTTGCATCCTTAGTGATATCATGTGTACTATTAGTTGTCAAACTATCCTTAACTGCTCAGTGTAGATTTAATAACGTAAGTTGTGAAATTTGTTGCAGGTGGACATTTCATTTTGGTTGTATTTAAAGGTATTTACCCTGTTCTTTAAGTGTACACCTTACTACGCGTTGCTGGAAAAGCTCAAGGAGATTTCCAAGTAATTCCAACATTAAAGAAATAAGGAGAGCAGTTTTTCATGTGAATAATATGAGGATGTAACGTGAATGCAGCTACTAGAGTGAAAATTTGTGTATCCACTGCCATCTTGGTTCTCTATTTAAAAGTAGATCTACTCTTTTGAGGAGTATGTGTTTAGCAAATGAAAGCCTGCATGTGACAATGTCTAAGTAAACATAAATTGTAAAATGGTGTATTACCTATCTTTTCCTTATAGACTGAAAAGAATGACAGTGAGCCGGGCAGCCAGCGGATTAAACCTGTTTTCATTGAAGATGCTAATTTTGGAAGACAAATATCCTACCAGCACGCAGCGGTCCACATTCCCACCGACATCTATGAGGGCTGTAAGTAAGAAGATGTGAGCAACTGCTGGGATACTGTGCTCCTGCCTGTCATATATATCCGCTTTGAAACCCAAAATAGGAGCAGATGTGACACTTTTATTTACAAGTGCTTCATATGTCTGTGAGAGGATAGGGTGTAGCTCAGTACAGCATTTGCCTAGCACGTGTGAAGCTCCGAGTTCAATCCCTAGCGTTGAGGGAACAAAAAGCCACGTTAAACTCTAGTTGATGTGAAAGAAATAAATTTGGTATAGTGAACAGTGCATGATTCATGCGTCCTGACGACTTAAGTACTTGTAGGAAGGTCTGCATCAATGGAGATGTCCTTCTAACCTGTGTTTAGAGAATCCTTCTGCCTTCCCCAGCCATGTCAGTGACGCACAAGTGTGTAGGTAGCAGATACGTCCTTTAGAAGTGGACATAATGCAGCAATCCATTGCGCACACACAGCTCACCTTCCGCAAACACACAGCCTGGCACCGGGTGCAGGCTGTCCGCTGCAGAGCCACACTGCATTCTTCCCACCCGTCTCTGTCATGGGCTGCCTTAGATGCGGAGAGAGGTCCGTCTTGCCAGTATCTTGTCAGCTCCAGACAAGCATGTGCCCTGGCAGGAAGGAACAAACCCGGTCCTGAGAACTGGAAAAGCACTGCCCTGACGTCTCAGTGGAGGAGATCTCCCTGGGAGGACAGACACTATTTCAGGGTGCTGGACAGGTGCTGGACCTGCTCTGACCCACTCCCTGTGCCTCCTATGCACTGCACTCTGCCTTCTAACATGGGGGAAAAGGTGGTTCTGTCCGTTTTTAAACTGTGTGTCTTCTGTTTACCATAGCAGGACAGGCTGTAGAGCAAACCTGTAGAGTACACCCAGGATGGCCTGGTTCTGGAGCCAAAGTTCAAATCTCAGTTTTACCACTAACATTTCTCTCACCAAATTTTTTCACTTTCTGGGCAAGCATTTTCTCATCTGTAAAGTGGGCTCAGATTACTAACCTGAAATAGCATCTGAAGATAAAATAAGTTCATGTATTTAAGTTCTCTAAATACTGCCATGTTCAAAGGAAGTGTCTGTGTTGGTTGATATTATAGTGAAAGTTTATTTAGGCGCAAAAAATCGAGTAAATAGACTTTATAAATTAGCTTTTATTTGCAGTGTCATTCAGATTGTTTATTTAAAAAGAACATTTAAGTACATGAATGAGGTTTGGGGATACACTTCAGCGGCACAGCACTTGCCTGGCAAGTGGGAGGTCATAAGTTCAGTTCCCAGTACCAAAAAAATAAAATACATACATACATACATACATACATAAATGATTCTTTTTATGACAAATTTCATCTTTTATGTTATTCTATTCATTTTATTCTCCCTGTCTCTGTTTCTCTCTGTCTCTCCCTGCCACTCTGTCCTTTCTCTCTGTCAGTGCTAGGCATTCAACACACGCCTTACACATGCTAGTCCAGCGCTCTACCATTGAGCAACACCCCATCTGTTTCTGCTTATATTAAAAGCACATGCTATTTTCAGACAATGGATTTGTAAAGATTTTTAAATTGCAATTTTTCTCTATTAGAAACAAACTTGTGTGGTTGGGGATATAGGTCAGCAACACAACGCCTGCCTGGCAAGCGCAAGGTCCTGAGTTCAGTTCCTGGTACCAAGACAAAGCAAACAAACAAAAAACAGAAACAAACATGTGTACATGTAAAACATAATTTACCCTCTTTATAATTAAACTCACACCATTACTTCTGAGTACCTTCTGGGATCACATGAGATTTAGATCAAGATATATAGTTTTTGAAAAATTTTTTAATTTTTGTGTTAGCTTTCATTAATTATTTTGGTGTTTGCAATATTTGTAACTATTATGATAACTCTTTAGAGACCACTAAACTATGTAGTGATATTTCTCAATCTTTAAAAATAAGTTTGCATTCTAACATACATAGTTCCAAATTTTCTGTCACCTATTTTTTGTTCAGTTGATCAACAAATAATATTCCCTATTATTACCTGTTTGTGGCATTCACAGTGGAATAAACTGACTGGATAGAACTTGAAACAAAATCTGTTTTCATCAATACTCTGCAGATTGGTTTACATATGTATAGGTGCACGGAAGACCAGCATGGAAAGTAAATTTAAAGCAAAAATCACTATTATGGAGACAAAGATGGTGTGAGCCTGCCTGCTCACGTCTTTGTTCCTTGGAGGGAGGCAGTAATGGTGATCAAGATACATTCTTTGTGCAGATTCATAGATTATTGTTTATTTAATTGTCTTCAGGAGGTGTAAGGTACTTCTGGGAGAATCCTTATCTTATTGTGTTTCTCTCTTACTCTTAGTTCAAACCACATTCATCATTAAGGTCTTAATGTATTTTATACTGCAACAGACATAAAATTCAACACATAAAGGAAATTCAAATATGTTTTAAAAATACATTAAATTTTTTTATATAGGATACACATTTTTTTTCAGTATCCTATGTGAGTTTTGAGTGTGTATAAATATTTTTCTTTCCAGTTTAGAAAAAGTGATTTGTGAGCATTTGTAGAGAATAACTTAAATTGTTGTAAAGAATAAAAACTGTTACTTTGAAAACCAATAAAGACATTTAAACATATGCTTTTAGATGCTATATTTGAAATATGTATACTTTAAAATAACAAAAAGAAGCTCTACTTTTGGATTATGTAGCTTCAGTTTTTTCTTAATATTAGCATCTTTCTCTGCTGAATATTCATGAGTGAGATTCTCACCTTGTGTGGCCTGTGCTCCTTTAAAATTCATACCCCACGTTATGGGCTGCAGGCGTAAATGGCAGAAGTAAAATCAGAAATGTCAACAAGATCTGGAGAATTTTATAATTACTGGTGTTCTTCAGGCAGTGCATTGGGACAGATCAGATTTAGAAGATTGTTCTAGGTTTCTGACTTTAATGAATGTGAAACTGTAATTTAATTGAAGGCTTAGCTGAAGAAATCAGCTCATGCTTGCTCTTGAGGACAGATGTGTAGCTGCACCCTCAGAAGAAATCTTGCGTTCAGATTTCCCAAAGGTGATTACTTTTGAAATCTTTTGAACTGAACTGTGATTATTTTTGCTCAGTGAGCTATTTAAAGCTTCAGAATAACCTATTTAATTGGAACACCATCTGAAAGTTCCTATTTTGGGGAATTTCATTAATGTTACTTTTAATTTTGAGAACACCTGAACCATGCTTAAATTAAAAGTCTCATTTATCTGTTTGCAAATGTAGAAAATAATCCTACAATTCAATGAAAACAAGGACTGAATATTCTCATGTAGTTTGCTTTTATTCACAGAATTTTATTAATTGTTGCAAATTTTCAGATGTAATTTTAGAGAGTGTTTTCATACAATATTCTGCAGTCATTTTCAATAGAAATTTTATAATACTGTATTGATAGTTCCAGAAAAATATTCCTTAATAGAAAAAACTAAAGAAATGAGTCCAGGCTTTCAGATATCAGATAATTTTGTCCTTCCACTTACCCTTACTATGATGTAAGCAAGGACACATAATTCTCATTTTAGAAATAATAAATAAAACTAAACGTATTTTGATCTCAAACATATATTCATTTTCATAAGATGGGAGAATTTCAGGAATTATATTTTTGAAGTATCATTTGCTTTACTAAAACCACTTGCTTTTTGTAAACTTAATAGTCACTGATACTTCCATTGTAATTTATCTTAATGCACATTAGTCTTGAACAATGTAGCTACCACCTTTTAAGGTTGTTAGGGTTTAAATTAGGAAAAAGCAGCTTGCCCAATCTTTGCTGACAAATGTGTACATAGTCCTTCATATTATTTTAGAAAAATATCCATTTATTTTGAGTAATTTCTATAAAACTTTCAGAGAAATACTTCCAATTTTTTTAAAATTGTACTATAACACAGAAGAAATATGAGAAGTCGGTACATTTATATCACTTCCTGTACAAAAATCAAAACTTGTAGCACAAAAAAAGAAAAAAAGAAGGATAAGCATAAGCCAGTCTCATTATAAATAATGGAAAAATCCAAGTGAAAACATTTGGAAACCAAGTGGTGTATTGATATAACACTGCATGATGTCAAAATAACTGAACTAACATTTGAGTATTTTATTTTAATTTTAATTTTTTTATTTTAAAAATAAAAGGAGGACAACATTAACAGACATACAACATTTTACAACATCACAAGAACAGTACAGACAATACAGAGTTACAAACAAAGTGGTAGGGAATTAACAATGGTTGTTGTATTACATATTGATATCTTCAAAGTGGCTTCTCATGAAGACAGATATAGACATGCAATACTGGTCAACCAAAGACTCATTGACAATTTCTTTCAGCATAGAAATAGAAGACAGAGGAACAACCATGTTAACTATCCTGTATATACATACAGGATACGTATAGGAGGAAAATTTCTCCTTCTTTCCCTTCTCCTTTCCCACATCCCAGTTGCCCTTTACTCTTGAGTGGTTTCCTATCATTTCACAGTGTCTATCATACCATTTGAGTATTTTAGATCACTAATAATATTATTAAATTCTACCTACTAAGTCAGATTGAGCATTGGATAGTATTACTCCTATTTTCCAACTAAAATCTGTTCAAAATACCACTACCTATAACAAAAATTGTCAGTGTATTAGGATGTTACTTTCATAATTTTAAAAGAAATCCATTGCTAATATCATTCGTATTAGCGTTAACCTCTTTTAAATAAAAAATAATGCAAGGATGTCAACCACTGTCTACACCATTATGGTACAATGTAATAAGCAAGCAATGGAGATAAGTCATAGATATTAGTGTGCAAGAATTGAACCTACCTAAAAGTTCTAAAGAAAGACATTAAAACACTTTGCATAATTAAGATAGTTTAGCAGGACTACTACATATAAGAATGATATTAAGAAATTGATCTATTCCCTGCATATTTTCAGTGGTCAGTTTGAAAATATG